TTTTAAAACCTACATTTCTGCTTCCTTTAATCCTTTTGGACTACTGTTGCTTTGTTTTTGGGCTCTGGCCCATTCCAGTTGTTTTTACCATTGGACTCTTTTAAGTCCAAAAGTTCAAATAGGTAAGATGCGAAATCAAGTTATTTATCTTCTGCGAAAGTTCTGTTTGTTTTCATTAGATTTGTTGATCTTTGTCGGTAAAGTTTGTTTCTTTTTCAACTTTTTGAATTTAAGGTCTATCAATAGAGTATTGAGATTTTGTATCCTCGGATTTGGTGAAGAATTTTTTTCTGGGAAATGTCATGACTTTGCCCAAAAACGGTTCAATTCATATTCGAGAGTGTAACTGATGAATACTGAATATGACAATTCAATTCAGTTCTGTTTATGCTAACGACTCAATTGAGTTCCTGAGACAGTGACATTGATTTCAAGAAGAATATTGAAAAGGCCAAACACATATACAACTCCATTTAACTTGTCTCTAAACTTCATTTTGAAACTTCAACTCAACCTTGTTTCATATTGAACCTCCTATTCCATTTTTCATGTACCATTAGTCTAAGTGTAGCCGTTGAAGTCCATTTTGATACCATTTTGCTCTATGGTGTCAAAAGTGTTCTTCAAGTACATAGCACACACCTAAAATTAAGCTGTCACCGCGCATGACTTGATGCTTATACTCGTGAAGTTCTAGCTGATCTCTGTATATTTTTTGTTGCTGTTTGCTGATAGCCTATCAAACTGATCCTGCTTTTTGGTGTTGATGGTTTGATTTTAGTGTTCAATTGTATCCTCTGTATGCATTATGCACCTTCTGCAGGTGTGCTAAGTTATGTGTTTATATGTACTTTTATCACTTAATCAATGTTTACAGATTTGTATCTAACAATAATAATCATGGTTTGATGTAAACATTGGTGAGTCTATATCTATAATAGCTTGAAGTTTGTAATTCTCGAGATTTACCACATTTTGTGCTGCTCATTATCTTTTTATTTCCAAGTGCTACCCCAAATTCAGCACCGCAAGGGATGTGTGTGTGACATGTTTCTTCTTCATGGGCCATCCGAACAATAATTTCAACATTCCGCTCTACACGGCCTGCGAAAACAATACAACTATTCACAGTGTCGTTGGCACTTGTGTTCTTAAAATTTTTATTTTCATGATAACAAATCACTTTCATGGGGTGTAAAGTTTATATTTTTATGTCATAACATCTTATTGCATTCACTTAAGAACTCATGAGTTGGATTACTAAAAATTAAGGCGAAATGGTCTGATGAACCCTTATACTTGTATCAGTTTGTATTATGAACCCTTCTACTTACGCCTTTGTCATCTGGACCCTTAAACTCAATAAAACACAATTTAACAAATCCCTCTGACCATTGATCAAGCTTATGTGTCTTTAAGATGACTGAGTTGGCGAAAGTGTGTGACTTCACGCACCTTAAGGCGAGTGAATAACTTTTTTAGGTTAAAAAAATATTAAAATTATAAAAGAAATATTTATTTTAAAAAACAATTAATTAAAAGGTAAGTCTTCTTCCCCACTGGCCACCTCCTTTTTGGCCATTTTCACGCGTGACCAAACTATTTTTTTCCTTCTCCACAATTTACAGGGATGATAATAATAACAAAATCAGTGATGGATAGTGGGATGGATCCTTTCATTCAGTCAGCATATAAGCCTATTTTTGCTACCCTCTCCATTGCTCCCTTTGCTTACTTCTTAGAAAGGTACACCTTTTTTTTGTTTTTGAAATTACTTAGGCGCCAATTAATTATGGAGAAAAAGAAATTCAAAGTTGATTGTTTAGCAAATCTTGGCGACTGATTTACCGCGGAGGGAGAAAGCGGACCAGCCTCGACGGAGACCACTGAATCGCAGTGGCGTGAGAGAGAGAAGCGGCGCTGGTGGCGCACACCACCACTGTTTCGCAGTAGATTAGTGTGAGAGAGAGGCGACACTGGCTAGTGGAGAGGAGAACGAGGTGGGTGAGGGTACGGTCATGGCGGTGAAGAGGTTTTTCGGCTAGATCTGGTGGTGCGGTGGCTTAGGCTGTTGTTTTTGTGGAGGTTGGAGGAGGAAAGAAAAATAGTGATGGTGTGCGGCGGAGATGAAGATGTGTGAGGGAGAAAGTATATGAGAGTTCGCTGGCAAAAATGGCGACGACAACGGCAATGACTTTCTCCAGTCGATTTTGGTCGTGAAACAATGAAAATAGGGAGAATTGGATGTATGGAAATTCACTTTAAAAATTGCCAAAAATAAATTAATTAAACTGTTATTATTTTACATTTTATTAAATAATTTTGGTTAATAATTTTAAAAAATAGTTATGAAATAATTATGATATGACATTAATATATGTGACGTGAATATGACATGTCAATTCTATAAAGGAGAGTGAGCTACACACATGGTTGGAGGGGCTTAAAAGTCTCATTTAAATTGAGTTTAAGGGTCCAGATGAAAAGGGGGTAAGTAGAAGAGTTCATAATATAAATTGATACAAATACAAGGGTTCACGAGGCAGTTTCGCCAAAAATTAATGATGAGCCTTTTTGAAGGGCAAGTTGTGTAATTTCTTCCTATTGCATGTCCATTACGAAATGACTTTTTATATATGTTTTTGACAATATATTTCAACATATATAAGGCTTAGGCCCACAACTGAAATGCCCTTTTACATGAACAGTGACTTGTTGACTTACAAGTCGTTCTAGGTCTACCCGTATTTTACAAGCTGATAAATAAATCCAATTGACCTACTACCTACTCTGCTATGAATTATAATTATGCAAATTATAGCTACTATTCATAATTATGATTTAAACTCTGTATGTGTGTATTTGTTTTAGAGGTGATATAATGTGTATCAATGTTTTAGTTTCAAAGCTAATATGTGTATTTGTGATTGCAAAAGAGAGAGGAAATAACTTTGGCGGAGCTCCCACTGCATGACTTAAGAACTTATGTCCATTAAGTATAAGCTCGATTATTGAAGGATAATACTTAAAGATCAGCCTATTTGAAAGGCAAATTGTGCAATTTTTTCCAATTGCATGTCCACTAGCAGCTCGTCAATTACGAATTGACCTTTGAATATATTTTGGAGAAGATCTCCCGAGATATTTCCACAACTTTAAGCTTAGGTCACAATAGAGACAGCCTTTTAATTCATTGGTATATACTTACATGAACAGTGACACATTGACTCCTAAGTCGTTCTAATTCTGCCCGTGTTTTACAAGCTGAAAAATAAATGCCATTGACTCAGCAAGACTTAAAGTGGTTCACTACAATATAAAACTATACTCATCAATAGACAAAACAAACAACTGAAATCTTTTAGCTTTCAAGATGGTTCCCAAAATATTTTATTTCCTTCAGTTTTTCACTCTCGACACAGTTACTTTTGCTTCCACTGAGGAAGCAACTGCTCTCCTCAAATGGAAAGCAAATTTTCAAAACCAAAACAATTCCTTATTGGCTTCATGGACACTAAGTGTTGGTGCATGCACGGATTGGTATGGAGTTATATGCTTTAATGGTCGGATAAACAGGTTGAATATTACTAATGCTGGTGTCATTGGTACACTCCATGATTTTCCATTTTCATCTCTACCATTTCTTGGATATGTTGATCTTAGCATGAACCTAGCTCTCTGGTATTATACCCCCTGAAATAGGAAACCTCACTAATCTTGTCTATCTTGACTTGTCGTCTAATCAGTTTTCAGGCAAAATCCCATCACAGATTGGCTCGCTATCAAAAGTTAAAACTCTCTTCATCTTTGACAACCATTTAAATGGTTTCATTCCTGTTGAAATAGGGAGCATGAAATCACTTGAGATTTTAGCCTTACAGAATAACAATCTTTCTGGTCTAATTCCAATAACTCTAGGTGGCTTAACTCAGCTCAAATTTTTGCCCCTTTATTCTAACCAACTTTCAGGTCTCATTCCTAGTGAGTTGGGGAATCTGAAAAACCTCAATGAGCTAGATTTATCCGATAATAAGCTTAGTGGTTCAATTCCAATTAATCTAGGTGACTTAAGTGAGCTCACAAGTCTGCACCTTTATTCTAACCAACTTGTTGGTCCCATTCCTAGTGAATTGGGGAATCTAAAAAACCTCAATGATTTGGAGCTATCCCATAATAAGCTTAGTGGTTCAATTCCAATTACTTTAGGTGACTTAACTGAGCTCAAAATTTTGTACCTTCATTCTAACCAACTTTTTGGTCCCCATTCCTAGTGAGCTGGGGAGTTTGAAAAACCTCATTGATATGGATCTATCCGGTAATCAGCTTAGTGGTTCAATTCCAATTACTTTAGGTGATTTAACTAAGCTCAAAATTTTGTACCTTTCTTCTAACCAACTTTCAGGTCTCATTCCTAGTGAGTTGGGGAATCTGAAAAACCTCAATGAGCTAGATTTATCCGGTAATCAGCTTAGTGGTTCAATTCCAATTACTTTAGTTGATTTAACTAAGCTCAAAATTTTGTACCTTTCTTCTAACCAACTTTCTGGTCTCATTCCTCGAGAGTTTCGGAATCTGAAAAACCTCACTACTCTAGAACTATCCCATAATAATCTTATTGGTTCAATTCCAATTACTTTAGGTCAGTTAACTGAGCTCAAAATTTTGTACCTTCATTCTAACCAACTTTCTGGACCCATTCCTAGTGAGTTGGGGAATCTGAAAAACCTCACTGCTCTAGAACTATCCCATAATAATCTTATTGGTTCAATTCCAATTACTTTAGGTCAGTTAACTGAGCTCAAAATTTTGTACCTTCATTCTAACCAACTTTCTGGTCCCATTCCTAGAGAATTGGGGAATTTGAAAAACCTTAATGATCTGGATATATCCGAAATAAGCTTAATGGTCCAATTCCTGCTTCCTTTGGCAATTTGAGACAGTTACATTTTTGTATCTCCGTGCCAACAAACTTTCTGGTTTTATTCCAAAAGAACTTGCATATGTGGATAACTTGGTAGAGCTGATACTAAGTGAAAATCAGTTTTCAGGCCATTTGCCAGAGCGGCTTTGCCAAGGTGGGAAACTTGAGATTTTCACGGTGAATAGTAACAAGCTTACAGGGCCAATCCCAAGAAGCTTGAGCAATTGCTCCAGTTTTAAATGGGTCCGCTTTAACAACAACAGTTTCACTGGGAATTTATCTGAAGCTTTTGGTATCCATCCGAAGTTGCTGTTCATTAATTTGAGCGATAATGATTTTCATGGTGAACTCAACAGCAAGTGGGGGAAATGCAAGAATTTGACTGATTTTCGGATTGCCAGAAATAACATTAGTGGTAGCATACCACCAGAGATTGGAAATGTCAAAGGGCTTTTAGGACTTGATCTTTCATCGAATCACTTGATTGGGCAGATTCCAAAGGAATTTGGAAAATTAACCTCTCTAGTTAATCTTTTTCTGCAAAACAACCGAATTTCTGGCAATATACCTGAGGATTTTGGGTCACTAACAAAGTTAGAGTCCCTCGATCTATCAGACAACAGATTGAATGGGTCAATCCCGATGTGTATAGTAGATTTCGTACACTTGTTTCAGTTGAACCTGAGCAACAAGTTTGGCCAGAATATTCCAAAGGATATAGGAAGGATAACTCAGCTTAATGTACTTGATTTGAGCTATAATCTTCTGGTTGGAGTTATACCCCCTCAGTTAGCCAATTTAAAGGTGTTGGTAAACTTAAATCTTTCCCACAATGGCCTATCTGGGCGCATTCCCAGAGAACTTGATACTTTGACTGGTTTGCAGGAATGTCATATTGTCATACAATGAGTTGGAAGGTCCAATCCCTAATAATAAGGCTTTTATCAATGCCTCATTGGAGGGTAATAAAGGTCTTTGCGGCAATGTAGCAGGACTCCATCCCTGCGAAATGCCGTCTTCTGTGGTGAAGAGGCACTCAATGGCGAAGGGACGTAAACTCATCCTCATCACTGTACTTCCTGTTATGGGAGCATTAGTACTGCTCTGTGTTTTCATTGGTGTTCTCTTTATGTGTAATAAAAGAAGGAGAGTTAGAGACGTTGAAAGAAGGGATGGTGATGGTTGGCTTTCTATATCCATGTTAGATGGGAAGGCATTGTACAGGGACATCTTAAATGCCACAGAAGAGTTTGAAGAAAAATTTTGCATCGGGCAAGGAGGACACGGAAGTGTTTACAAGGTAAACCTTCCATCATTAGGGAATATAGCTGTGAAGAGACTTCATTCTTCATTTCAGAATACTCATCCCAAAAGCTTCATCAATGAAGGGCATTGACTGGGATTAAGCACCGAAACATTGTGAACCTCTACGGCTATTGTTCGAAAGCACAACACTCACTCTTGGTTTACGAGTATGTGGAGAGGGGGAGTTTGTCTAGTATTTTGAGCAATGAAGTTGAGTCCAAGAAATTGGATTGGCTTAAAAGGGTGAATATCATCAAGGGTGTTGCTTTTGCTTTATCTTACATGCACCAAGATTGTTCACCACCCATTGTTCATCGAGACATAAGTAGCAGTAATGTTTTGCTTGATTCTGAGTATGAAGCTCGTGTTGCAGACTTTGGACTAGCGAAGATTCTCAATCCAGACTCATCCAATTGCACTACACTTGCAGGCACATATGGCTATGTCGCACCTGGTAAGTTTTAAATAGTTCATGAACTATAGCCAAACACTCCATTGTTTTTATCTCATTTACACGTTTTAATTGTTAATATTGTTTTGAAAATTGTATTATTCAGAGCTTGCATATACTATGAAGGTTACGCAAATGTGTGATGTGTATAGCTTTGGAGTATTATCATTGGAGATAGTCAAAGGAAAGCATCTTGGGGAATACATTACTGTGCTAGCAAATTCATCGACTATAGATCCTGAGCAGCTTAGCGATTTGCTGGATGAACGCCTTCCATATCCTGAAGATAGAGTAAAAGATGTTTTGGTTTTTATCGTCAATCTAGCATGCTCTTGTTTGCTTAAAACTCCAAAATCAAGGCCAACAATGCACTTCATCTCTCAGAAGTTATCCTCAATGGATGCACGTCCACCTATTCATCAGAGAAACCCCCATGTAAGGCGAGCAATATATAATCCTTGATATGTATGGAAATGTCGGTAGTGTGAAGTAAGTATTTCAATTGCTGGGACTAGTATTTTTAGGGTTCTCATTTTGTTTACTGTATTTAAGACCTTATATTACAGTCGCACATAGTTCGTCTTGGAAGTTTTCATTCGATTTCAAAGATTTTACCTGTATGTATAGAAGCTAGAAAATGACCCTTTCTGCTCAAGCTTTTGTCCCAACTGAATAAATGAGATTACATTTTGTCCAAATAATTCTTATATTTTACTGTGGATTATGAAGAAAAGAAAATCTGGCCAGAAGATCCATTGCTGGAAGGGTGTGTCAGTTTTTACATCGACAGAAATACCCTAAAAAACAAACTCCAATCATCAATTTATCAAAACAACAATAAGTATAACAAATTCATTTAACATTTTTAATTTTTTTCCCATGTTTTTATGATTTTTTTTAAAAACTCATAGGAAACCCCGTGAAACTTTTAAATTTTAATCGTTTTCATTCACTTCCATGATAATGAAACATTTGACTCCCAAGTCGTTCTAATGGAAGAAAGATTAACTCAAGTCTTCTTCTTGGGTGGTTCACAAAATGACTTAATGATTATAGAGAAAATTGATTCCACAAACTTTAAGCGTTGTCCACAATTGACACTAAAAAAATTAATTCCATTGATTCACAAGTCTTGGGTTATTTAAGCTACCACCTAACCTACTATCCCTAGGAATCGAATTCGTCGGTCACCAAGTAAATTGCGGAATATAAATAATGTTATGGTCATTAACTTTTTTTTTTTTGGAAAATTAATTTCAAATTTAGTCACTTAATTTTTTAAAGAAATCAAGAAATCTTCAATTTAAAAAGATTCTAATGGAAAAAGAGAAAAAGGCCAAAATAGTTTCTTATCTTTCGGTTAAAACTCAAAGTCATCCTTGAGTTTTCATATGGAGCATTAATAGTCTCTCATGTTTGCAATATTGGTGAACTTTTAGACCTCCTCCAAACTTTTTGCCTATTTTTTAACATTAATTTGTCCACATTTTTATATATGGAATGTTCATTTGTTTTATTATTTATTTAGTAGAAATAATAAAAAGGTGAGAAGAAGAAGATCTTGTTTTGTTAGGTTGAAATATTATTGCAGCTAAACTAAAAACACCTTGTTCTGTTCAATTAAAATATTATTGCAGCTAAACTAAGAACATCATGGCATGTGACGTTAAAAGAAAAGAAAAGAAAAGAAAAGAAAATATTGTACTATTGCACGTGAAATTGATGTAACTAACCTCTCGATTTTAGGTGCAATAATATTTCTACTAAATAAAACAAGGTATTCTTCTTCTTACCTTCTCTCGCATGGAGTTATTATTTCTACTAAATATATAAAAAGCCGATTAAACATCTCATATATAAATTATGGATAAAATCAATGTAAAAAGTTAGACAAAAAATTGAGGAAGGACCAAAAGTGCATCAATATTGCAAAAATGAGGGACTATTAGTGCTTCATGTCCAAACTCAAGAATGACTTTGAGTATTAACCCAAAGATAACTGATTATTTTTAGTTTTTTCTCAATGAAAAAATCTTTAAAAAATTCAAATAAACGAGTAAGGGTCCTTATAAGGGGAATTTTCGCATATAGTCACTCAAAATAATTTAATTAGGCTCTATAGTTATAATTTGCTAATTACGATTCGTAGCTACATGTTAGAGGCAGGAGAGAGACGAGCTAGACTGGGAGAGGGAGGAGAGTGGAGAACGATATTGGGAGAGGGAAGAGAGAAGTGAGCGATTTCGGGAGAGGAAAGAGAGAGGCGAGCGATTTCAGGAGAGGGAGTAGAGAGACGAGCAAGAGAGACCGGAAGAGAGTAGAGAGGTGAATTGTATTTGTATTTTGGTTAGATAATTGTATATATGTAATTAGTATGTATATGTATCAATGATTGTATTTGTATATCTGCATACAATTTGTATCTGTCTACAATTGAATCGAGTTCAAACATTTGTATTTATATATTCAATCTCTCTCGCTTTATACACACAAATTATACATTTGTATTTGTATAATTTGTGTTTGTATAAAGCGAGAGAGAGATAAAGAAGAGAACTGGGCAGAGAGAGATTTGTATTTGTATAATTATAAGTGTATAAGATGGAGAGATATGTATATGTATTTATATATCCAATCTCTCTCGCTTAATACAAACACAAAATATACATTTGTGTTTGTATAAAGTGACAGAGAGACGGAGCAGGGAGAGATGATTAAAAAAAGAGGAGAGAGGGGGGAGAGGGGAGGGAGGCGAGAGAGAGGAATATAATTATAGCTAGAAGTAAGTTCCGAATTGTAGTTAATACAAACTATAGCTATGTTACCTCTGTCCGAATTTATATGACTCACTTTCCTTTTTAGTCCGTCCCAAAAAGAAGGACATATTTCTATATTAAATAACAATTTAACTTTAAAATGTTAATTTTACCTTTAATGAGATAATTTATAGTCAGAGAAATTTCTATCATTCATTTTAGACCATAAATTTTAGAAGTCTTCTTTTCTTTTTAAATTTCGTGCCGAGTCAAACTACTTCATATATGAGGGAGTATATGTTTGCTTATTCGCCTAATTTCCCCTTCTTATAAACATTTCAAGAAAGTTTTAAAACCTACATTTCTGCTTCCTGTAATCCTTTAGGACTACTGTTGCTTTGTTTTTGGGCTCTGGCCCATTCCAGTTGTTTTTACCATTGGACTCTTTTAAGTCCAAAAGTTCAAATAGGTAAGATGCGAAATCAAGTTATTTATCTTCTGCGAAAGTTCTGTTTGTTTTCATTAGATTTGTTGATCTTTGTCGGTAAAGTTTGTTTCTTTTTCAACTTTTTGAATTTAAGGTCTATCAATAGAGTATTGAGATTTTGTATCCCCGGATTTGGTGAATAGTTTTTTTCTGGGAAATGTCACTTTGCCCAAAAACGGTTCAATTCATATTCGAGAGTGTAACAGATGAATACTGAATATGACAATTCAATTCAGTTCTGTTTATGCTAACGACTCAATTGAGTTCCTGAGACAGTGACATTGATTTCAAGAAGAATATTGAAAAGGCCAAACACATATACAACTCCATTTAATTTGTCTCTATACTTCATTTTGAAACTTCAACTCAACCTTGTTTCATATTGAACCTCCTATTCCATTTTTCATGTACCATTAGTCTAAGTGTAGCCGTTGAAGTCCATTTTGATACCATTTTGCTCTATGGTGTCAAAGTGTTCTTCAAGTACATAGCACACACCTAAAATTAAACTGTCACCGCGCATGACTTGATGCTTATACTCGTGAAGTTCTAGCTGATCTCTGTATATTTTTTGTTGCTGTTTGCTGATAGCCTATCAAACTGATCCTGCTTTTTGGTGTTGATGGTTTGATTTTAGTGTTCAATTGTATCCTCTGTATGCATTATGCACCTTCTGCAGGTGTGCTAAGTTATGTGTTTATATGTACTTTTATCACTTAATCAATGTTTACAGATTTGTATCTAACAATAATAATCATGGTTTGATATAAACATTGGTGAGTCTATATCTATAATAACTGGAAGTTTGTATTTCTCGAGATATACCACATTTTGTGCTGCTCATTATCTTTTTACTTCCAAGTGCTACCCCAAATTCAGCACCACTCGGTATGTGTGTGACATGTTTCTTCTTCATGGGCCATCCGAACAATAATATCAACATTCCGCTCTGCATGGCCTGAGAAAACAATACAACTATTCACAGTGTTGTTGGCACTTCATGTGTTCTTAAAAATTTGTGTTGGGCTTAAATTTTTTATTTTGGCAAAATTACTAAACTACACTACATATGTTTACATATTCTCGTTTAATCCCTACTCTTTCATAAAAATTCAAAAATCCTTATTTTTCCCCAAACCCCTCTATTCTGGATACTTTATTCTGAAAGAACCCAAAACCCACCTTTCTCATCCCCAAAATCTTGCCTCTAATCTTTTCCCACTACCAAATTAGTTACCGAATTCAAAGCAATTTGATTTTCAAATGATTCTATCTCTATTCAACCATCCAAAGTTCAAAATAGGTATTATCATCTTCTTCATTTTTCTTTCAAAATCAATTTTTGTGTGTCAATTGATTTTGGATTAGTTGTCAAAATGGATCATCCGTCTTTTAAT